GCTCTCTCCCTCTCCCTCTCCCTCTCTCTCCCCCCCTCCCCCACTTCTTGCTTGCTCTCTCTCTCTCAAAATAAATTAACATTAAAAGTCCAGTCTGAGAACTCTGCATGGACCCTAGATCCTGAAGATTTTCTCTCAATTTTTTCTAAAAGTTTTATGGTTTTACTTTCTGCATTTAAGTCTGTGATCCATTCCGAGTTAATTTTCTGTGTAGGATGTGAGACTAGGGTCCAAGTTCTTTGTTTGTGGCTATGGATGTCTGAGTACTCCAGCACCCTTATGCCGCCTCCATTGAATTGTTTTTGTACCTTTGTCAAAATCGGTTGGACATACTTGTGTGGCTGTTTCTGAGTGTTCCGTTTCATTGATCTATGTGTCTGTCTTTCCACCAGTAGCACCTAATCTCGATTACTGTAAGTACCTAGTTAAGTCTCGAAATTGGGTAGATTGTGTCTGCTCACATTCCACTTTTTGGAAGTGGTTGTTTCTGCTGTTTGAAGATCTGTGCCTTTCCATATGCATTTTATAATAATCTTCGCCTGTATCTGCAAAAAACTTTTGTTAGGATTTATATTGAAAATGCACGGGGAAACCTCTATATCAATTTGAGGAGAAGTGACATCTTTACGACGTTGTCTCTTCTAATGCGGGAATACTCATTTTGTTTTTAGATTTTCTTTGATTTCTTTCGTTAGCATTTTGTACTTTTCATCGTATGAGGATTGTACCTGTTGTATTGGTTCCGCACCTAAGTTTTCATTGTTTTTGAGCGATTATAAATGGTATTATGTTTTTAATTTTGGTGTTCACCTATTCATCCCTACTTTTTGGAAATACAGTTAATTGATTTTTGTATGCTAATCTTGTATACCGTGACCTTGCTGAACTCACATACTGGAGTTTTCCCTAGGTTCCTTGGGACTTTTTACAAGACAGTCACCTCGTCTGCAAACGGGGACCTGCTTCACTTCCTCCTTCACCATGCTGCTTTCTTCTTTCCTTGCCTTACTGTGTTGGCAAGAGCTTCCAGGACTGTTGGAAGAGTGGGGAGACTAGACATCCTTGCCTTGTTCTGATCTTAGCGGGAACGCGCTCAGTCTTTCACCATTTCGTAGGTTACTTTTAAATGTTCTTTAGAAAAATTTTGTTTTTAAAAAAGGGGGGTGCGCCTGGGTGGCTCCGTCAGTTAAGTGTCTGGCTTCGGCTCCCATCTTGATCTCACGGTTCATGGGTTCAAGACCCCCCGTTGGGCTCTGTGCTGACAGCTCAGAGCCTGGAGCCTGTTTCAGATTCTGCGTCTCCCTCTCTCTCTGCCCCTCCCCTGCTCATGCTCTGTCTCTGTCTCTCTCAAAAATAAATAAATGTTAATTTTTTTTTTTTTAAATCTCATGTCTTTGCCTCTTCCTCTAAAGAGGAAAATTCTAGGGGTGCCTGGGTGGCTCAGTCGGTAAGTATCCGACTTTGGCTCAGTTCATGACCTCACGGTTTGTGAGTTCAAGCCCCCTGTAGGGCTCTGTGCTGACAGCTTGGAGCCTGGAGCCCGCTTTGGATTCTGTGTCTCCCTCTCTGCCCCTCCCCTGCTCGTTCTCTCTCTGTCTCTCAAAAATAAATAAAAGTCAGAAAAAAAATTTAAACGTTCTTTATCAAGTTGAGGAAGTTCCCCTGTATTCCTTTTTTCTCAGTCATCTTTACGGATGTGTGTCAAATTTTGTCAAATGCTTTGTCTGTAGCAATTAATATAATCCTATGGTTTTTCCTCTTTAACTTGTTAATATAGTGGATTACATTGATTTTTGAATATTGAACCAGTTCTGCATCTCTTTGTGGGTTTTAAGTACAAATGATTTTTTTGGAACTCTATTCTTTGAATATATTTTTAATTCCAAAGGTACAAAAATGTGTACATGGGAGATCATGAAAAGTCTCACCCTGTCCCTTAGGATTTCATTTCATTTCCCCACAAGAAATTAGCGCCCTGACAGTTTCTGGTATATCCTCTGGAGGTTATTTATGAGCAAATACATTCAGCGTAACGCGTATTCCACATGAACTCTGCACTAGCAGGAGTTCGTGTGGAAAGAAGCCAACTCTGTTGAGAATGTGCACATGCTCGATGTTGACCGAGTTATTTTGCTTAAATTATTTCATTGAATTCTTAGGATGATCCTTTTCAATAGACGTTACGATTTATTACCTTTGACTAAAAGACATCCAGCAATCGTTTGACCTCACTCAGCCACTAAGTGGAAGAACCGATTGATACCAAAGTTTATGCTCTCTTACTTCCGTGGGCTCTCGGTCCTTCTGAAGGCCCCTTCTGGATAGGTACACACAGGAGCCATGGCATAGTGACGTCAGTTTTAGATTGTGGGAGGCAATAGATAATGTTTCTTAACCGCAACCATTACTGACTCGTGGAATCCAAAAATCCAAACATTAAAGAATTACTACTTGGAGAGAAATGTCTGCGCTTGAGTCAACAGCTGTGGGACCGCACTGAGGTTCACTGTAGTCGTGGGCTCCATCTTGCATGTACCGCAGGATGACAGAAGCAGACGCAGTGCGCCAGGTGAGAACAGAGCCCATCGCCAAACGTGTCGGTTTGGAAATGGGAGGGAAGAAGGGATCAGAAATGGACCAGAGCGCACGCCTTGGGAGGAGCCCAGCCAACGTTGGCTGTTCTGTCCTCCTTTTCATAGGAACTTGCCCTCCACTCCCTTTTGACAGAACAGATTTTGCCGTGACAGTGAAATCAGGTCTAATATCATGATTTTTCCTTGTTGGTTTGCCAGCGGTTGTAGATACCATAGTCCGCTCGGTGCCTTAGGAAAATTCAGAGAATGGATACGGCAGACCCGCTGAGAATGTGTACTTTTCACACACGGTTGAGGACTTGGTAGCATCGTCACTTTGGGCCTCAGTTTCCTCTTCTGAAACATAAGAATATTGGGCTCAGATGATTTCTGAAAACTTTTTGAGCTAAAAAGTACAGTGATTGATTCGGTCACATAACCAGTCAGACCTGTTAGTTTCCTGATTCCTAGGTGTTTTGCTAGTGAGTCACGGGGTGGGGGGCTCGTCCTTTCCTTGGAGTGATTTCCATAAATAGTGTTAATGTTTTATGCAAATTTTAGTCTGAATCTCAGAAACTGGCGGAAGCCTACTGTGGAAGGAGAAGGGGTGGAGAGAGGCTCGCGCGGATGGAGGGGGGTGGCTGCTGTGTC